CATCGTTTGATGCGGATCGTTCCTTATCCAGCACGCGCGCGAAGGCGCTGGGGTGATTTCGGCATGCAGCGCGAGAGGCCTTGTTGGCAGAATATCACGACAATGGTGACAACCATTTGTTCCTCTTAGAAGCCGCAAGAGCGTGATCGCAGCTTGTTTTTAAAACTGGCGTTGCAGAGCCACGTGTTTTCATGTGTTTTCGGGGCGCTCGGTTTTTGTTGTTGTTGTTGTGTTTTGTTGATAAAAAATCGCTCATGAAACCAAGGGTCTTTGAACTATTCCGGCGCGCGCGCGCGGTGACGCGCGCTCGCGCGCCGGTTTTTCTCGCGAAGCAACTTTGCGGCAGCGCGCGCGCGAGGGCGCCGGCAAGGTTGCAACATGCGCGCTCGAGAGGCCCGCTCGGTAGCATGTCACGAGCAGGTTCGTAAACCGATGGTTTCCTTCAGGACCTGCAAGAGGGGGGGCGCAGTCCTTTTTTTCCGTTTTGAGCATCCGCGCTTCAAAATTGCGCGTTGTTATGTTTTCGGGGCAGTGGTGTTGAAAACCTTCTACGACATTAAGGGTGTCTTATGGATTGCAGCACGCGCGCGCGACGACGCCCGCGCGCTTCGCCCCGCGCGTCGCAAAGGGTTCTCTCGACAACACGCGAGCAAGGGCGCTGGGGCAATTTCGACATGCGCGCGCGAAGTCCGTTCGGTAGCACGTCGTGAAAATGTTCAAACAAGTTTTTTGGTTTTCATGCGAATTCGCACGAGCGCGAGCGCAGGCTTCCTTTGAACATCCGCGTTATGAAACGATGTGTTTGATATGTTGTCGTGTCGTTCGATTTGGTATCCTTGCGAGACTTAGAAATTCTCAAGGATTTTTCAGCCCGCGCGCGCGACGACGCGCGCGTATTTGTCCAGTTTTCTGCGCAAGAGGTCTTTGGAAACGGATGATTTGTGTTAAACGGGCGCGCGCGCATAATTCTTTCCCGGGAGGAGGTGGGGGCGCCGGATTCGCTGGGATGATCGGACTTCATATTTCGGACGGGGGTAACCTTGTACGTAATTTGCACGTCCCCATGGGGAATCGATCAGTCCGGGGGGCGTCGATCCGAAAACCCCTTCAACACATCGTATTAACTTGTTTCGGAGTGAGTTGTCATACCCTTTTGCTCGCTCTGTCATCCCACCCACCCATCCGCTATTTGGTTTGCAAAACCCATGCGGCGGCGATTGCCATGATTGCTTGACGCTGGCTGGCGCGTCGTTGCGGCCGCGCCATCGCGCGCGGGCTCGATCGCATAGCCACTTGGTAGTTCGGCGCCACCGACGCAGCCGCGGTGGCGCTAATCGCCGGGGGTTTCCCATCGATTCTGACAGGGCGCGCGGGCACTTCAGAGCGAGTCGGTGTGTTTGGGCGGGCACAATATCATGGAAACGGCGACAACGGCTGACCGATGATGATTTCAACGATGCTGTTGAAGACGATGACGGTGACGACGGCAAGGCAATTGACGGCTCCGATGTGGATCGAACCGATGACGATGATTGTGTCCACGCGTCGGCGATTCAGGTTTCGGAAAGATTTCGACATGCGCGCGCGGACGACGCGCGGGAGTGGCCCACACCACGCGCGCAAGGGTGTTCGAATGTTTTCGACGCGTGCTCTTGAGAAGCCTACGATGAAAATGTTGGAAAATAGTGGTTTCCAGAGAGATTCCCTCAAGCGTGGAGATTTTTTGGTCACCGGTCACGTTGCAAAACCATGTGTTTTATGTGTTTGGGGGGCGTTCGATTTTGAAATGTTTCGGGAGTTGGTTTTTCTGTTTGAAGGATGCCGCAATGCGCGCGCAACGACGCGCGCATGCGCATTTCGTCACAGCTGTTGTATAACAAGGTGTTTGGCAACGGACGCTGTTTGATAGACGGGTGTGCGCGTAGTTTTGTTTGATGAGGACGACGGGGGGATTACCGACCGGGCTGGCATGGCATGAGCTCATTGTTGGAATGATCGATTGGGGCTGAATCGTACGTAACTTGCACATCCCCAGGGTGTGTCGGTAATCTGGGGGGGATATCCCAAATCCTTGACAAAAGGAGCATTCGTATGTTGCAATCTATGTACCGCAACCGGAGGGCGGCGACGAGGCGGCGACGGTGGCGACGACGGCGGCCACATAATCGCCAGACCGAAGAGACGACCCTGACGACGGGCGGCGACGAGGCGGCGGCGGGGCGGGGAAGGCAGCCACACAGCCACCAGACCGAGGACACGGTCCAGCTCCCCAGAACAGGAAAGAACCCCCAAACGCAAACAATGCATCAGACATTCAGGCCCCCGAAGAGGGCCCCAGGGCCGCCCACATTTCCCCAATCAGAGTTTGCCTCTGTAGGGGTCCCAGCGGATTCATATGGTTAGGTGAGGTGTGTCACCGATTTCCGCGGCCCGCCCAGGTGCCCGGGCGCCTCATAGCCCAGCCTTGTAGCCCTGTAGCCTTGTAGCCCTATAGCCCTATAGCCCCATAGCCCCATAGCCCTATAGCCCTATAGCCTCATAGCCCCATAGCCCTATAGCCCTGTAGCCGTATAGCCGTATAGCCCTATAGCCCTATAGCCTTACATTCCTATCACCTTGTAGCCCTATACCCCTATACCCCTATAGCCCATAGCCTTACAACCTCCTAGCCCTGCAGCCCAATCGCCCTACAGCCTTATAGCCCTGTAGCCATGTAACCCTGTAGTCCTATAGCCTTATAGCCCTATAGCCCTATAGACCTATAGCTTTACATGCTTATAGCCCTATAGCCGTATAGCCCTATTGCCCTACGGCCTATAGCCCTATAGCCCCATAGCCCTATGACACTATGGCCCTATAGCCTCAGAGCCATACAGCCATAAAGCCTTCTAGGCCAATCGCCCTATAGCCCTATAGCCTTGTGGCCCTATTGTCCTATAGTCCCATAGCCTTATAGCCCTAAAGGATTATGATTTGGGTTTCTCTCTGGTATCACGTTGTTCCAAGAAACCCCGCAACACGGCCCGAGAGGGCCCCCAGGACGGCCTCCAGAGGCAGCGTGTATTGATTGTTTTGTATATCGAGGACGCCGGCTGCCTCATCGTCCGCTCCCTGAGAGTTTGCCGAATTGGTGCGCAGCATCGAAAGTCGTGACGCGGCGCGTATGCCAGCTATCTGGCTGTCGCCTAGGTGCGTTCGCCTTAATGCGGAGCATTTTGCTCAGTGCATGTGCACACCACGCATTCTTTGCGAATTAGCCCCGTACCGTGACCCGGACGCCGCTTCCGCTCCCTGTCCGTTGCCTCGGAGCCGCCGACCAAAAAAGTATGCCAGCTATCAAATGGCCGTCGACCCATCCCGCCACCGTGCTTGGGTTTTGGGTCGGAGTCCCCATGGGCGTTTCTTGGGGTCGCTCGAGAGGGCTCTCGGGGGCTTCGGCGGGAGAGTTTACGGGCCTCTTGGGGGCCTCCTGGCTGCTTCTTGGGAGCCTCTTGGGGCCCTCTTGGGGCCTCTTGGAGCTTTCTTGGGGCTCTTGGGGGCCTCCCGAGGGCCTCTTAGAGCCTCATATGGGGCCTCTTGGGACCGAAAGCTCGAAATGTTCATTCGGGTTCCCCTTCTGGGCGCCCTCTTGGGGCCGTCCTGGGGCCCCTCTTGGGTCGTCCCGGGGGCCTCTTTGGCCGTCTTGGAGCCCTCTTGGGTTGTCTTGGAGCCTTCTCGGGAGCTTATTGGTCCGTCCTGGGGCGATCTCGGGGGCCTCTTGGGCCGTCTTGGAGCGTCGGTTAAGCCGAAATGGCGAGAACGCGAAAATCCTTCCAAAACCATCGAACAATCAATGATTGTTGTCTCTCGGGGCTCTCTTGGGGCTGCTCTTGGAGGCCTCTTGGGCCGTCCTGGAGGCGTTTGGGGCCGTTCGGAGGCAATCTTGGGCGTCTTGGCGCGATCTGGAGCCGTCTGGAGGCTCTCTTGGACCGTCTTGGGACTCTCTTGGACCGGCTTGGGGCGCTCTTGGGTCGTCCCCGGGCTGTTCTGGACCTTGAAGGGTCCCAGGGGGAGGGGCGGTCCGGCGGCAGAGTCGGGCCCCCTCGGAGGGACTTCAGGGAGGTTTTTGACCGGGCTCTGGCGAAGGGGGCCGAAGATTGTGCCAGACACTCCGTCAGAGAGGTCCGCACGGCCCAACCCGCCGGGCGGGAGCGGCCGCATTTTGAGAGGGCTTCGACCTCTGCCGCCTGCCCCCCTATTACTAGCGCGGGTGGCTCTGCTGGGGTCTTCTTGGGGCCTCGTGGGGGCCTCCTTGGGGCCTCTTGGGGGTCTCCTTGGGGCCTTTGGGGGCCTTTTGGGGGTCTCCTCGTGGCCTCTTGGAAACAATATGTTTGGTTTCTTGGGGGTCTCCTTGGGGCCTCTTGGGGGCCCCTTGGGGGCCTCTTGGGGCCTCTGGAGATCTTCTTGGGGCCTCTTGGGGCCCTCTCGGGGATGAAAGGTCGAGTATTCGGTTCGTGGACGCCCTCTTGGGCCTCTCTTGGGAGCGTATTAGGGCTCGTTTGGGCCGTCTGGGGCGCCTCTTGGACCTTCTTGGGGCCCTCTTCGGCCGTCTTGGGGCCGTCTTGGGGGCCTCTTGGGCCGTCATGGAGGCTTCTAGGGCCGTCGTGGGGCGATCTTGAGAACCTCTTGGTCCGTCTCGGAGTGTCGGAAAGCCGAAATGGCGAGAAGGCAAAAAATTGTCAAAGACGTAAGGAAAGTCGTCGACTTTTGCTTCGTGGGGTATATTTTCTCTAGATGTACAAGTGTCCTAGGTCCTGTGCAACCTTTATACGGCCCACGAGGCCCCCCACACTGGATCACGTCCAGCGCGGCCGAACGGTTTTTCCAACGCGCGCTCCCCACCCAGCCCCACACCCATTCAGCGCCCAGAGCTGGACGGCATGAGTGTCTACCCGACGATGCCTCCAACCGCCACCCCTCCGCTCGCCTCCTCGGCCCGCTGCCCGTGGGGTTGCGACGAGGCGGGCACGGTCCGGCACCTGGCCTGGCGTTGCCCAGCACTCGACGAGCCTCGGAGGCAGCAGCGGGCGGACGGGTCCAGATTCGCGCTGCTGCAAGAGGCGGAGAGGGCGGAGCCCGACACAGGCCAGGAACACCACATCTGGTCACGCGGGCTGGTGCCAGACCCGCGAGCAGAGGCGCCGCTGCCTTTCGCTCGCACGCTCGTGAGACGCTCGGGCACCCACCCAGGGTCCGTCTTCGAGCGTGAGGTCTTCCTCGACAGCTCCGCCTTCCGCTCCAGGGACAAGGTGCTGGCGCGCGCGGGCTGGGCGGCGGTCACGACGTGGGGGGCTGACGATTCGGAGCGCAGCTCGGCGTGGGGCAACGTGGCCTGGCCGCTTCCCCAGGACAGCGAGGCCGGGGAGCTGCAGGCGGCACTGGAGGCCCTGCGAGGCGGCATCGGGCCGCTCATCCTCTACACCGACTCGGCGATGGTGCACGACGGCTGGGCCTTCGGCAAGCGCTGGTGTCTGGAGTGGGGTCGGCCCTACCGCGAGCTGTGGGTGCAATTCTGGCAGCTCGTCGAGGACTACGGGGTCACCATGGTGCAGGTCTGCAAGGTGAAGGCGCACGCGACGGAACAGCACGTCCGCGACGGCCTCATCACGGACAGGCAGCGCGCGGGCAACGCCAGGGCGGACAGCCGAGCCAATGAGGGAGCCGCTCTCCACGGCGTCCCGCAGGAGCGGCTCGACATGGTGGACCTCGCAGAGAGCCTCGCCACATGTGTTTCCGACTGGCTGGGGGAGGCCATGCAGGAGGGCGACTCGCCGCTGCGGGCGGCCGACGGCTTCGAGGCGCCTGGCCTTGAGGCGATCAGGTGCGCTTGGGCGGGTTGCCGACAGCGCCCAATGGCAGCCTGCGGGGTCGGCGGGCCCAACTGCGCCTTCCGCGCTTGCGACCGCCATGGCACGGCGCTGCTGCTGGGCGAGTCGGTCTGCTGGAGCTGCTGGGTCTGCGCCGCCATGGGCACTCCCGTGCAAGGGGGCCGAGCAGCCGCCCAGAGCGGGGGCTCGGGCGACGGTGCGGGCGCGGCCGGGGCTGTCGCCCTCGCCTTGGCGGCCGCTGCGGCGGCGGCCCGGCCGCGCGGGGCAGCCGGGGGCGACGGCAGGCGAGCCCGCCCGCGAGGGGGGACCGCCAGGGCGGGCTGGCCCAGGTGGTGCCCCCGCTGACGAGCCCGCCGCGGCGGAGGAGCCCGCCGCCGCCGCCGAGGCGCCTCCGGCGGTGGCCGCGGCGATGGCGGCCCGCCCGCACGGCGCCGCTGAAGGGGGGGGCGGCGACGGCGAGCCCGCCAGCGGCGAGGCGCCGCTGAGGCAGCAGGTGAACGCCGCGCCGTCGGGCGGAGAGCCGGCTGGCGGGGCCGCCTCGCCGGAGGGCCCTGCTGCCGAGGAGCCGCCGCCTGCCCCCGCCTCGCCTGGGCCAGCGCGGCGAGGCCGTGGCCGCGGACACGGCAGGGGCCGAGGTGGCGGTCGCGGGCAGCCTGCCTCAGCCCCTTCCGCGCTCGCGCCAGCCGTGGGGGGCAGCGAGGCGCCGCCAGCGTGGTGGAACGCCGAGCTGCAGGACTCGCACGTCCTGATGAGGTGCGGCGGCCACGTCTTCTGCAACGTGTGCGGCGCCAGCGCGGGCTCGGCCCGCATCATGGGCCTCGCGCAGGAGTGCCCCGCCCGCCGTGTCCCGGGCTGGCGCGTGGAGGGCCGGCAGGCCGAGGTGCTGAGGCGCCTCCGCCGAGGCCTGCACCCGAGCAAGAGTGGCAGGCTCGGTTCCCCGGTGCGGCTGCAAGCCTGTGGACGGGCGCGGAGCCGCTCCCGCGAGGGGCGGGGCGGGGGCGCGGCGGGCCGGGGCTGAGGCTTCGGCGCGGCGGCCGCGGCCGCGGGGCGGCTCCTGTGCAGCGCACGGTGCCCGCTGAGGGGGGATCATCATCACCATCATCCTCATCATCATCATCATCATCATCATCATCATCATTATCAATACCATTATCATCATCATCATCATCATCATCGTCATCATCATCATCATCATCATCATCTTCATCATCATCATCATCATCATCAGTATCATCAGTATCATCGTCGTCTGTTGCCTCCGTTTTCTCCCCATCATCCTCCACCTCACTATTTTCTCGCGTTTCTGGGAGCACGGGGCCGCCTCGTCCTCGCCGTTCTTCTCCAGGCCCTCTTGGTCCTGATCTGTCCTGGTTCCTGCCCCTCCCAGTCCTTCTCCTGCTTCCCCTGCTCCTCCTCTCCCATGCCTGCTTCCCACAGGCCGTTGTTCTGGCGTGTTTCTCTTTTCTCCGCCCTGGACGTCGCCCAACCTCTCTGTTCGCCATGTGGCCCCATCGCGCCCCGTCCCGCAGTGCGCGCTGGACGTGCAAGTATGTGATTTGATCTGATTTGGCATTCGACTCGGCGAACACAACAAGATTTCACGCAAGCGAAATGGATTGGGAGGGAGGGTTAGGACGTCAGATGTGGCGCCGGAGCGCTTGGCTGGCCTTCTCCCCCTCTCCCTTCTCCTCCGCCCCTTGTCTCTCCACCCCTCCCTCCCCTCGCTTACTTGTCCTCCCCTCCCCCGCTGGCCCCCCCCTTCCGCCTTCCGTGGCGGCAGCCGGCAGCCTGATCGCGATACGACGAGCGTGCACGGCAGGGTCGCACTGGAGTTGGAGCGACACCGCCAGCTTCGGCTCTTCAGTTTGTGTTCATCGCGTCGCCTGAGCGCCCAGGGACAAGCTGGTGGTAGGTAGTGCGTTCTCATCGCCGCCGTCAATCGTTCTTCGATGTCCTGGAGGTTGGCCCGCCGGACCCCGCTAGATCTCCTCCGCCCTGCCCTCCAGCGCCGCCCGCGCCCCTCCTCCCTTCCCCCCCGCCGCCCCTCCCTGCTCGCGCCGCTCCTCCCCTCTCCTTTCCGCCCCTCCCCTGCCCTCGCCCACCCACCCCTCCCGCGCCGCCCGCGCCCCTCCTCCCTCCGTTCCCACGCCGCCCCCCCGCCTTTTTCCTCCTACCCCCCCCCCCGACTCCCTCCCACGCCGCCCTCGCCCCCCCTCTCCTCCTTCCCCCCGCCCCACACGCCCCCCACCCACCCACCTCCCCTCGCCCCCCCCCCCCGCCCCTCGCCCCGCCAGGCACTCGACGAGGGCATCCCCGTCGAGGCCTGCTTCGACGGGCAGGCTCCGAGGCCGCCCTTGCTCCCCGCCCGTCGTCCACCGCCGCCGCCGCCGCTATGACGACGACGACGACGATTACGACGACGCTTACGACGACGACGACGGCGGCGGCGGCGGCGGCGGCGTGATGGCGACGGCGACGGCGACGGCGACGACGACGACGACGTCCAGGTCACCGGAGGAGGAGGAGGAGAGTTGGAAAGGGGGAGGAGGGGGAGAGAGAGCATGGACCCCTGCACAATTGTCGAGCGTGGGAGCAGGGGAAGCAGGAGGAACACGAGGACGATGAAGGCGGTGGTGGTGGAGGGGGAGCAGGAGGAACTGGTTTCGCGGGAAGGGGGGAGGATGCCTCACGCAGGACGGCCCCACCTACCTGGGTCCGATCCAGGCGACCATCGATCAAAAGGGCAGGGGTCGAAAGTACGCCCCCCCCGTCGGAACCAGAAAAAACGTTCCTGGGTGCTCTTGAGGCTGGGTTGTTCCTCTCCTCCCTCGCCGTTCTCTCCGCTGTTTCCCTGCCGCCGCCTCTCGGTTCGCAGTGCCGTTGTTCAACGTGGCGCGCTGGGAGCGCCGCCCCGCGCGCGCGCGAGAGAGGATTGAACGCAGCCTCTTTCGCTGCGGGGCAAGCTTCTATTGATATCACTATGTCCCCTGTGTCGTTCGGGTTACCACAGGGATGTCCACCTGGGGGCCTCTTGGTGGTGTTTCCGTTGGCGTTCTCGTGCGTGTTGCCGAGGTTGAAGGTGAGTGCGCGTCCATAGGTCTGCCGAGTACTCCTGTTCGCGCTGTAAGCACGGGGCGTCGATTTCCTTCGTTCCCGTCTGCATCAGGACCAAGGGAATGTGTCTAAACAAGCCTTGGGATTGCGCCCGGGATCCTTTCCTGGGCATATTCTGGGGCTTTCTGGGGGTATTCTGGGGACATACTGGGGCTTCGGAAGCTAAAGGGCGAGACGCCCAACAATATTGAACACACACACACACACACATACACACACACAGCACGCCACCGCTGGAGCGTAGCCTTTCGGGGGGCATTCCTTGGAGGCTTCGTACCCCCAGGAGCCACTCTGAGGCATATGATTACGATTGCCTCCTCGGGGTAATTATGTTGGACGCTGCGCTGGTCCACCTGGCGTCATATCGAGTCATGCTGGAGGCCACATTGTGGTATTTGGGGTTATCTTCAAGCCGTCGTGGGCCATCTCGGACGTTATAATATTTCCCGCGTCCCCGCGAATACCCGACGGGGGGCGTGAGGGGTAATCCCGTCCCGCTCCGCCGGCGGTCGTCGGTTGTCGAAGGTCATTCGCCGTCGTCGTCGTCATCGTCGTCATCCTCGTCGTCGTCATCAGTCGCCGCAGTCGTCGTGTACACCGCACATTCCATACCCTTTGGTGTGTATGTGCGGCCGTTTGTGCAGTAGCATGTGCGTGCCAGCGCACATGCTTGCACACGCGGAACGTGTATGATTACTGCAGATGTGCCAGCAACACGTGCGCGCACATGCTTGTGCAATCCTCTTGCGGATGACCCCGCAGGCCTCCACATGCATTCCCATGCGTTACAAGGCGCGTCCGCACATGCTTGCACATGCCGACGCACAGGCCCGCACATGCCTTCGGAGTTGTTTGGGGTCCTTAGAAGAGCCTCCATTGCTTCGTGGTCTTCGCAGTCTTTCGTGGGGTTTGCTTTTTGCGTCCGCAAGGGATCCGTTGCCATGTATGCTGGGGGGGCTTGCGCGCTTGATTCGCCCACTGCTGATGGGAGCGGTTTGTCGCCCGTGGGCCACGCCGATGTGATTGACCTTGCGTCGTCGTCCAGTGGCCGCGCAGAGCTTGTGGCGCTCCCTGTTAAAATGTCTTGACGGCGCGCCTATTCGGCTCGGCCGCAGGAACAGGAGGGGGGAACGAGGTCGAGGATGAGGAGGCCCGATTCGCGTGGGACATCACCAACACCCAGGTTCCATTATGTTTTGAGTTGGGGTTGAATCGACGTGCCCCGATTCGTTTGGGATCTTCCTATACTTCGGGGTTCCAGCCCATTTTGCGTGTGGCATCCTGACAATCTTGGGTTCCGAGATTCCTTGAGTTGAGGTGATTTGGCCCGTGCCGCTTAGATCATCTCCCCAACGCTTGGGGTTCCAAGATGCAGTGGTGCGGCCCGCTTCGCGCGAAATTGACCGGAGGTGATCTGCCCCGATTTGTTCGGGACATCGTCAACATTCTGGAATCCAAACTGCGGTTATTAAGTGTTTGGGCCCGGCTCGCGTGAGGCACCCTCGGGGCCCGGGGCTCCGAGACGACGGGATTCGAGAAGTCCCGCGTGGACCTCCTGGGGACGCACAGGGCCGCCCGCCATCTTTGCAGCATGACCGCCTGCGTGGGTCGGCCACCGGGCGAGTTCGGCCTGTGCAGACGCTGCGCGGGGCTTTGCGGGGCTCTGCGCGGGGCGCGAGAGGATGCCGGGGCCGGCCAGGCCAGGAACGGCCCCGCTCCGCCCGGCGCCCCCGCTCACGCCTTGCGCAGGCGCGCGCAGCGCTTGCGCTGCCCGCGCTCGCCGCCAGGAGCGGGGCGCCAGGTGGGCGGTCCAGCCTCTTTGTCGCTTGACAGAGCCTCAGAGGCGACGATAGGGGCGAATAGCTCAAGGGAGAGCACTGCATGTGTTCAGGTGCGCCGATGATCTATGTCTTCGAGAAAGCTCCCGGGCGAATGCGTGTAATGCGCGCCCCTGGGCGATTCGCCCCTATCGTCGCCGTCGAGATCCTGGCAGCTGACTTCGGAAATGCCCTGAACTGAGGTGGTTCGACCAGTTTCGCCGGAGATCTCCTCCCAATTCTGACCCAGGAGATGCCCTGCGCCATGATGGTGATCCAGTCACCATCGCTTGGGAGATCCTCATAACTGTGACCTCGAAGATGCTCTGAGCTCAGGTGGTTCGGCTACCTTGGCCTGAGACATCCCTGCAACTCTGACCTCGTAGATGCTCGGCCCGACGGTGGTCCGGCCACATTTGCCTGAGGCACCCTGGCAACGGATTCCGAGATGCCATGATCTCAGGTGGTCAGGCCTTCTTCGCCTGAGACATCCTCGCAACTGTGAGTCGGAGATGCCTGCCCCATAGTGGTCTGGCCACTTACCTTTAAGACATCCTCGCACCTTTGGGTTCCAGGTTGCCCTGAGTTCAGGTGGTCGGGACATCTTCACGCGAGATCTTCGCAGCTCTGGGTTCTGAGCTTCTCTGAGTTGAGGAAGTCAGGCCACTTTAGCATGAGACAGTTGCGCAACTCTGACCTCGGAAATGCCCTGAGCTCAGGTTGTCAGGTCACTGTCCGTTGAGACATCCTCGCAACTCTGACCTCGGAGATGCCTTGCCCCATGGTGGTCCAGCCACTTTCGCTTGAGACATCCTTGCAACTCTGGGTTCCGAGGTGCCCTGAACTCAGGTGGTCAGGCCATCTTGGCCCGAGGGATGCTCGCAACTCAGACCTCGGAGACGCCTTGCCCCATGATGTTCGGCATCTTTCGGCTGAGATATCCACGCGGATTCCGAGATGCCTTGAGCTCAGGTGGTCAGGCCACTTTCGCCTGAGAGATCTTCGCGTGATACATCATTCGAGCGCTGGCCACATCCCTTTGTTGTTCGATTTGTGCTGTCGCCTGCCACGTCTCTTATTTGGGTACGGTGTTGCCGCTCGAACGCCAGCCACATCTGCTTCCCTCGTTTTCCTTGCTCCTCCTTCCTCTCTCATCTGTCCTTTTCCCCCCCATGTGTTTCTCTGTCCCCCACCGAATATTCGACTCTGCGGCATGTGCGGGCATGTGCGTTTATGCTTTCGGAGTTTGTCCAGACTGTGCATCCAAGTGCGCATCGGACTGTATGGCATGTGCCCGCATGTGCGGCCATGTTTTTGAGACTGCTGCAGGGTTGCAGGGGCATGTGCACGCGACTGTGCGGCATGCGCGTGCATGTGCGGCCCCTTCTTCCTAACCTCAGAGCGAAGGTGGGCACTCACTCTAGAACTGAGCACTACAGAAGCGAGTCCTGCGTCAGTCGGCGTGGCCGCGGCGCTCAGCGGCGCAGGCGCGCGCACGCACCGCGCGCGGGGTGCCGCTCAGTAGGCGCTCGCTGCTGCGCATGGACCGCCGGCTGAGCCAGCTGGAGCTCTGGCCCGCGGAGGGCCTCCACGGGGAGCCGCCCGCAGGCGCGCGCTCCGCGCGCGCGCGCGCGCGCCCCCGGGCAGCGACGGGGGCCATCGCCGCCGCGTCCACGACGACGACGACGGCCAGGACGACGACATCCACAGGGCAAGGACACGGCGCCACGCCGCCCGCGAGCGCCCGCGGGCGCGCCATGCGCCCCTGCGCCCGGCGCGGGGCTGCTCCCCGCAGTCCGCCACTCGTCGTCGTAGTGGTGGCTGTCGTCGTCGTCGTCGTCGTCGTCGTCGTCGTGGCCGTCGTCGCCGTCGTCGTCGTCGTGGCCGTCGTGGCCGTCGTCGTCGTCGTCGTCGTCGTCGTCGTCCTCCTCCTCCTCCTCCCTCCTCCTCCTCCTCCTCCTCCTCCTCCTCCTCCTCCTCCTCCTCCTCCTCCCTCATCGACGACATGACGACCACGGCGCCGACGACCACCACGTCCGAGACGACCACGACGCCCGCGACGGTGGCGCAGGCGACGACTGCACCCAGGTCCGCGTCCACGACCCGGACCTCGACGGCCACGACGACGCCGCAGCCGCAGCCGCCGCCGACCTCCGCGCCGCTCTTGCCCAGGGAGGGGACCGCCGAGAGCCGCTTGCGGCGGCGGCGGAGGCGAGCAGCGGGCAGCGGGCCGAGCGCCGCGGGGGGGCCCGCCGCGGCCGCGGCCGCAGGCGCCTGGGTCGTCGTGCCGTTGAGGCAAACGGGCCCCGTGGCCAAGGGCGACGCGGACCAGGCGCGCCTGGCGCTCGGCGGAGGAAGAATTGTGCAGCAGGGGTGGGCCCAGGCGGTGTTTTGGCGATTTCGTGGGCCGTTTTCGTTTCGATGTCGTTTTGCGTTAAAGGCCGATTGAAGACAAAACGAGGGAAAACAAAACGAAAACGAGAAACACCGTTTAGGTTCAGCCTAGTTGTGTAGCACACCGCGGAAACCCATGCCAAGAAACACCCTGCTTGCCTCCAGGGTGCCCTGGGTTTCTTGGATATTTCGGTGGTTTTGCGATGGGAAGCGTGTTGCTCCCACACCAGCAATCAAGGGACGCCATGAGATTCCAGGGTTGGGTTTCGTGTGGAAGCTTCCGTGCGATCGGGCTCCTATTGTAAGCTGTGCCGCTATCGGGGACGTCTGGGTGGGGGACCAGAGCAAAGCCAACATTCGACAACGATGTCGCAATACGTCATTACATCCATCTAGGCCTCCCAGATGGGGTCGGAGGATCGCGCCGCATCGCCGATGCATCGACGATGCGGCTCGAGGCGGAGCCCGATTTTCTCCACGATGCAACGTCGCCGATCCGTCGCCGACGTCGCCGATGCATCGCTCATGCCTCGGCGATGCGGCGCGATCCATCGACCCCGTGTGCTCGGATCCCATCTGGGAGGCCTCTATCGTCATCGTGTCCCACAGGCAGGTTTGCTCACTGCGCGAGGCGCCCGCCTCCCCCTTGGTAGATTCAGGAGGGAAGAGAACACACAGACACAATTAATCGTCGACTTCTACAAAAATATATGGGAAATATGGGAAGTGGGGGGGAAGACGAAAACCTCAAAAACATTGGAAATCTGGGGGATCTTGTTATTTGTGTCTATTTATCTGTGTGTCCCAGGGCCCCTTCAAACATGGCCGCCCCATGGGTCGGTAGTGCAGGCGGGAGCGTTCCTTTGATGGAAGCCGCTCTCCATCATTGGAGTTCTAAGGACTGTGACAAGGGAGGTCATTCAGTGCAAGGAGGGGCCCAAAGGCAGCTCCTCCCTGACGGAGAGGAGCCACCCTGCATCCGTGTGGTCGAGACACAATGTTGCAATGGACGCGAAATGGTTTCAGGAAGCCCTCGGCGAGAGCTCCGTTTCGGAAATGACCGCCCCCCATCCGTGCAAGCGTCGCACAGCCTTATTCAAGCGGCGTGCGCCATTCCGCCGACCCCCACAAGGAGCGAGTGTGTTGAGACGATCGTGGAAGTTCTACCTTGGGTCGGGAGACTCCTGGATGAATCTGAGGGTCTCTTGGGATGCCTCTCTGGGGCCTCTTGGAATATGGTGGTGGCATGTGGGAGGCTCTGGGGGGCCTCGTGGGGGCCTCCGGGGGGGCTCTTGGGGGCGTCTTGGAAGCCTCTAGGGGCCTCTTGGAGGGCCCTCGGGGGCCTCTTGGGGGGCTCGAGGGGCCATCTCAGTGGGAAAGACTCGGCATGTCATTTCGGATTGCCCCTCCTGGGTTGGGCTGTCTTGGGCCGTCTTGGGGCCTTCTTGGAGGCATCATGGGACATCTTGGGACGATCTTGTGGGCCACTTGGGCCGCCGTCTTCTCTGTCACAACGTAAAATGCGAATGTGCTGAAGATGCACGTTGCTCAATTGGAATTTGATGATTTTGGCCTCTTAGGGCACTCTCGGCGATCCTCTGGATGCACTTTTGGGCTGTCTTGGGAGCCTCGTGGGCCATCTTGAAGCCACATCTTGGATCGTCGTGGGGCTATCCACGGCCGTCATGACGCTCTCTTCGACTGTCTTGGCCCTCTGTCTGGGCCCTGTTGGGCTGCCTTGGGGCTGTTTGGGCGCTCCGGAGGCCTTGGGGGTGCGTTGACGAGCTCGTACCCCCCCTTCCCCCCGC